TCTCGCTTCGAACGTCTGGCACCAAGGGAGCAATAAATTACTTTCTTCGGACCCCTTTGAGAGGCAAATTTTGTGTGTGTGACACAAACAGAAATATGTACATCAATTGGATGCAATATTGAGAACAATATGCACGTACGAAAGTGCATATTTGTGCATGTATATATATGTATGTATGTATGTATATATGTATGTATGTATGTATGTCTGTATGCGTGTATGTATATATGTGTGCGTGTATGTGGGAATGTATATATTTGTATATGTACTTATGTATGTATGTATGCTGTGTATGTGGGTGTATGTGCTTGTGTGTATGTATGTGCGCATGTACGTATATGTATATATGTATGTATGTGGGAATGTGTGTATGTATGTACTTATATATGTATTTATGTATGCATGTATATGATGTATGTATGCATGTATGTTTGTGTGAATGTACGTGTATGTGTGTGTTCAGTAGTCAAAATATATAAATTAATGAGGTTGTTTTTACCTGCTATCCTGACTACCGTAGCCGGAGCTACACGTACTCTCGTCTAGACTTTTAACGCGCAGCGAAGACGACGACAGATCCATGGACGTATAAATCGGTTCATTTGGTGGTCTTGATGACGGGTACGCAAAGTTGCAAATGGAAGGGCGACCACGCGATATCCATGGATTTGTGCGAATATTCTGGAACAGGCTCATGACTGGAAAAATTCTTTTTTGTCTAGAAATTGCCTGTATCGGAAAATTACAAATATTCTCGGTAAATCTTTCTCTACATCTATGTCTAGAAACGGTTAAAGTGTTGCCGAATGTTCCTCTCCAGAAGCACTGGTTAAAGCAAAACTGTTGAGCTGGTGATCCCTCTAGGGGACTATACAAACGTCAGGAGCTGAACATCAGCCGATACAGCATTGGTCAGCAAACTGACCAGACGACCACGCAGCATTGGTCAAAGCAATTTTTTGAGAGGATCGCTGAATTGGGAATTCCATCACAAAATAAAACAAACATCAGAATTGCTAGTAAGCCGAGCACTCGGCGACATAGCATTGGTCAAAGCAGCTTGGGCGATTTACAGCCTGCATAAATGAATTAACATTAACTCATATATTTCAAGTATGATAGAGTTAGAGAATTCTAGGTGACTCATGTGATAACAATTTGTTAAACTTATCTATTGGTAAATGCTGTTGATGGTTTTCTCTTTCGATGATTATCCGGAAGTAGTCCGAAAGCGGCTTAAATTTTTGGGGTGCTAATACAAATCTGTTATTATGCGTATGTAGGGGTGTCAACAAGTGGTCGGGGAAGGAGCAGGATGAAGAAGGAAGGCAAAAATGAGGTAGGAGACAGGCTAAAGTACAGAGTAAGGTCTTTTCGGTCCATTAAGTTTTGAGCGTCTTATGACCAATCAAGGGGCCTTGAAGAGATGAGTTTTTCCCTCAGCGAAATTATTTTTTGGTAATATGATTTCGCTAAATTCAATTTTTTTACTCATAATTGGGTGTGCTTCCGTTTTCCCTCAAGGACATGGACTGAAATTGTTAGTGTGACACATAAAGAAATGCGATAATTTAGTCAATTATTTTGCACCATGCGAACAGGATAATTGCCCACTTTAAAAA